TCCCAATCTATCTTGGCGGCCCATGTTAACTGCATCATCATCTTAGCGGCCACTTTTACTGGAGCCAGAAGTCCAAGAGGGTCGAAGATTCTGGCCACTTCACTCAATACCTGACGTTTGGTAGGGATAGGGTTAGCATCTGGCAGCGTTACCCGAAAAAGAATCACATCATTGACTGGTCCCCAGTAAAGCCCCAGAACCTTGGCATCAGTGTCGCCTAAGCCAAGTGTGCAGCTGGATGCCTCTGAACCAGATGTCGCCGAGAGCACNTTAGCATCAGGAACCACGATTTGGTTGTCAATGGCGCACTGGTTCAGAACACGAGCAGCGTTATAAGGGCTGCAAGCCATACCGTAGATGACAGTCTTCAGTTGATACGCACGGAGCGTGTCATTAGGGCTTTCGCGCCAGAGGATCTGCTGCCAACATCGATGCCTGGAGTTCACCTCGATTTGCCGGAACATCTTCTCGATGTCAGCCGTGACAGCTACGCGGAATCGACGAAAGCGTAAGAGGATGTCAACTAGTGGATCTTGAACTGCCGGCCCAACCAGCTGAGTGTCGTTCAAGGAGACGCCATTGCTGCTCTTCGCCGAAGCGTTGAAGACCACACGGAATTTCGCGGTGACAGCATGGTGCGGTATAAAGTAGGCGTGGGATGGATCATCTCGTTGTAGCGTGATCTTCTCCATGTGGCCGAGCGTCTCGTACTCGCGCATAAACTGAACATACTTCTGGCGCAAGTCATCATCACCCCTCAGACGCCTCTCAAGGTTGAAAAAGTGGCCCAGCGCCTTGCCGTAGGAATCACCGAGTGCAGGCGCATCCGGAGAAAATGGGATCTGCACTATGTATCGGCCATTGCTCTTGCGCGATACGGTTCGTTGGAAAATCTTTTCGGAAATGTCATCGGTCGTTTTGGGCGAGGAACCTCCTCCAGTTCCCAGAAGCGTTGAAGAATCTCATCGAGTCGCTCCTCCTCGGTAGCACATTCGGTCGGTGTGCCCCAGGCGGGAAGTGACGCACAGCGTGGCGATGTAGGTCCGCATATGACCCAACCGAGACGCGTATGGAGAGCGCACGGCTGCTTAGGCCCACCAGTGATAGTTTCACCCAGGAGAAGCATGCCCATGATGTCCGCTCCAATGAGTACATCGATGCTTCCTGGCGTGTGAAATGTCGGATCAGCCAGTGGTATGTTGTGTAAGTGTTTGTACCCGCTCGTGTCAATTGGAGATGCGGGAATCGTCGAAGTTATACTAGGCAAAATGTGCGCATCAAAACGGCACTCAAATTCTGCATCGTGATATGATCGCAACACCAGAGTCGTCTATCCGCGCGAAGGAGTTGCCCTCTGCGAACCAATACCTTCTACCGTCAATGTGTAACGCCTTCTGTGGAGATTCAAACGCTTAAAAAATGGCTCCGTAATGAAGCTTACCTGTGAACCCATGTCACACAAGAGACGACACGATACTTCCTCTCCACACCCATCTACGATGGGCGCCTTGGCAGTGGCTAGTAGGACGATTCCTTCGGATTGCGCCAGGAGAGACTGACAGGCAAGACCTGAGGCGCAGTAGCGCTGGTTGATGGCGATTGTTGCTCGAGTACGGACACTGGTCGCGCTACTGAGCTGGTGTTTGTAGGTAACCGCTCGCCTTGCGGAGCTGCCTTACAAAGCAAGGTGTTGTGTTTCTGCTTACAGTTGTTGCAATTCCCCGAGTTACACTCACGGGCCGAGTGACCTGGTCCCAAGCAGTTGAAGCATAACGTTGCTTGGCGTACCCAGTGCAAACGTTGATCCAGACTTAATGCTCGGAATTTAGGGCATCTTGATATACGATGTGGCTCGGCGCATCGTGGGCAGGTCATTGCTGATCTCATGTTGGCGCTTGAAGATTTGGGCACCACCATATGTGACTGTGCGGTACGAAATGTTGCCGAGTGCCTGGGCGGTACGGTAGAGCTGCTCCTTAAAGTGTCAGCATAGGTCTCAATCTCCTCAAGCATTTTCCGCAGCTGCGGCAGAGTGTCTGAATGACTCAGAACGGTCCAGTGCGTGACCGCCGATATTGGCAATATACGGAGAACAATAGGATAAACGATGGCGTCCCAATGGTCGGTGGCCAAGCCCATCACGTTAAGTGCACGTAAGGTACAGCGTAATACATCGATTTCTTTCCGAACATTGCGTTGCGTAAGTGCTGGGTGTTCAGGCAAGTCCAACAACCGATTCACATGTGACTCAACCAAACGCCTGGGATTGTCGTACCTCCTCTTCAATTCCGCCCATAGTTGGTCGTAGCCTCCAGTGTATACGCCGCCAAAGCAACTGAAAACCGATTATGTTCGTACACACCAGCGGGAATATAATGACATTTATTTGCAAATTCGTCTTTTATAGAAGGCTACAAACGGTACAATAGCGTGATTTGTTAACGTTAGATTTTATGATGTTTACAGGTTCAAGAATATTATATATAAAGATGGAAGTATGTATGTATGCAAAACATAAATAATCGAATGACACTTAATAGCCCGAACACAATGAAAACGACGAGCTACAAACCACAGCTGTCAAATTATTTTAACACGTACTCTTATGTAGATAATTATTTTGGCGACGACCGGGCTACGCGACGGCTGTGGTTGTGGCCAGATTAGATCTATTTCTATTTTTCTGGCGACAGATAAGGTTCTTCCTCTTCTTTTATGTCAAACTCATACAAATTCATGATGTCGCTGCCGCGTTCAAAGAAATCATGTCGCCATCGACAAAGCGCTTAGATAATAAAGATGACAAATTGGAAGCTGTGGTCGGTAGCTCGTCGTTTTCAATGTGTTCAGAACTTTAGGCTTGTTCAGAGTGCAGCCGCGAATGACACTAAAGGTTTGCGCAGAGTACAGACGATAAAGCTGGTCGTTGCCACTTAATCGCGTACATTGTGTGTTGCTGAAATTCTTAAAATTTATATTTATTTTATAATTTGCAAGTAACGTACGCTTTTTTTATGCTGTTTCAGCTTTCATTTTCATGTTCACTCCTTATTACCGCCAAGCAATAATATGTGTATACATGGTTATAAGCTGTCAAAATTTTACCTTTTTGGGTTGTTGTTGTAGTAGTCGTTGTTGTTGTAACCATATTCACTCCTGAGGAAGGCACGGGGTTGTGTCATGAACGAAAGACACAAGATCACGCGGGAAGGAAAGAACGAAAAAAGTTATTTTCTAGCTGCCGAAATCTCGACGCCATCTTTGTTGTAAGAAGTAAACAACGAAGAGAACGGAGAAAACCGCGAAATTGTTGAACGCATGAAAAATCATTTTTATTATGCAAATTCTTCTATAAATCATGCCGTTGTGTTAAATTATTCTTTATCTTATGTGTACACACGTTGTCACAAGCGAATGAATGAATGAATGAAGAAAATTGCAGTAAAAAGCCACCACCAAATTGTAAACAACGAAGAAATGTAAACAAACGGCTAATGTCAAAATCGTTCAACTTTTTTCCTAAATGCGACTCTAACGGGCTAGTCTCCTGCCCGCGTGATCTTGTCTTTTTGGTTCATGGGGTTGTGTGCTGCTATTTAGCGGCCTTGAACGGCATTCACAGGGAATCAGTCTCGAGTTATGTAGGCTCCAGATCTGAGAATGCCTTTCTAGGCGCACAACCACCGCACATCGACGAGATGTGCCTCGGGAGACTTGCATCACAATAGCCCAACTTTGCTCTGGCTACTGCAGCAGGTTAAACTCATACCTGAGCAGATTAGACGCAGATGTCCGGTATGCGGAGAGACACCCCATGACTCGACCATCTCTTCGTATGCCCGAAAAACCCGACAACACTAACGCCTTTGTCCCTGTAGACCGACCCTAGGTATATGTATGATCTGAAAATAAATAGTGGAAGTTAATCAACAATCTCTACTTAAGCAGGTCATCTGAAATCGGGCTTTAAACTCACAATACTTACATGCCACATGTTCATGGAAAGCCTTTATTGATCGGGAATAGCTTAAAATTATATAACGAAATGATTAAATGAACAAATTAAATTTTCACTGACATTGAAAACATTTTCACTTCACAGTTTCATAGAACCAGAATGTGCCCAGGGCTGTAAGTTTAAAGTGTCACTGAAAAACAGGCCCTTACCATATCCTGGAGCACAGTATACACATGCCACATGCCATGATAAATAGCAATTATAAGAAAATCTCTGAATCGGCAAAATTCATGCTCCTCATTATCAACCCTGATCAGATCTTACCCCCGAGGAGTACTGAAAAAGTTTTATTACTGTATGTACTTGTTCTGGAGTACTGGAACACACTAAATTATGTACCATTCTGTACTGGAGAAATTTTATTTCCACCCTGTGGTTTAGCATCGAACTTTGGCAAGTGCTACTTCGCTATTGCCATTAAAACAAAAATATTTTGGCATCAGCTGATTGTCGTGAAATTTTTGCGCAGTACATATTTCATTCGTGTGTAATATTTGTTTATTTTTGAAAATACAAAAGTTGGTAAAACTGTGGGTACACCAAGTGTGATTTGTAGAGGAACGATCGACGACATTAAAGCACCCATCTGGGACGCGTCTGCTGGAAGTTTGCGTCATTATTCATACAGACAATAAAAAGACGCGTCAGCTATACCGGGGTACGAGCCGCACCACCCAAAATAATGTGGAGCCCAGTGGAGAGCGTGAGCTGAGCATAGCCAATAATCAGAAGAGAAAAAGACTTTGAACTGTCCAGTTCAAACGAAGTGATTGATTTTCACAATTTTGCAAAATAGCGAATATTTTGAAATACATATATATTATATATGTATGTATGTTGATCTATGAAAGTGAACAAAAAATGCGTACAAATAAGAGACTAATGTAACCGCTGGGTAAATAAAACAAATAAGCACAGTGCAAATTGAGAAAAATGAAATGTCGATATTCTTCGCGTACGTGGATGTAATATAAAAGTGATAATTGGGAAACTGAAAAAATAGCTCATGAAATTAAAACGAACTTAGCACATCAAAGATTTGCGGTTTATTCAGTGCAAAAAAAAAGCTTTGTGTTGGAGGACAGTCGAACCCTAGTGATAATTAAATAGGCAATTATTACAGATAAAAGTGACACTAGCTTCGAGTGCACATTGTTTTCGCGAGATTTCTATGCTTGCATCTGCGGCAGTTAACGCCGCTTCTTACCAAGTTAAATCGATAAATTATCAAAACACCTGTGTTATAATAAAGTTACCAAGAAACTGGAGAAGTGGAAGAGAACACGCAGCTCTACGAAAAAAATGGATCGCAAGGGAAATGCAACTGGAGGGGGTGGTGGCCCGCCTGACAAACCATCAATTTTAGAAGGCAAGTAAAAATAAAACAAAATTTTATTTAATTTGAATATGTATTAAGTTCTGTATGGCATACATACATACATATCGCACCCTAAATAAAAAACCGGCAGAACTCAAAATTTGTCAAAATTTATTTTTTGCCCTAAAACAGTTCACAGACCGTATACCCAACGTCCGCGAAAATTTCTTCTTCATTACTATCTTCTTTAACTTGAAAAATACTACTAAAACTTTTTAGTTTTGTTTGCGTCGATTGCGCAGCGTCAACAGTTTTTTGCCTCTCCTGAACATTTAGGATTTTTTGAGTTGTGCCGGTTTTTGATTTAGTGTGCGATATGTACTAATTACAAAGATGAAAGTAAAAGGGGTGTGTGTTGACAGCTACTATGGGTCTTCATTATAATACAAACGGAACTATCATATTTGTGGGTGTTTTTTTGAATGTTAATAAAGCACACTTGTAACCTGTATGTTTGCATGTACAACTTCTGTACTAGGGATCATGATAAAAATATAGTAAGGTAGAACCGCTGAGAGTCACTTTTAAAATTCTTGACGTTTCCAAACAATGTACTTTTTAAATTTCCTCACAAACTCACATACACATTTTCATTTTCAATCTCAAGCAACAACAATTTCGAACAATTTCAGTTTTTTATTTTCACTTTTATATGATTTTAAAATGTTGGCAAACTTCAAAAAAAAATCATGGCCGACAAANCTTTTTAAATTTCCTCACAAACTCACATACACATTTTCATTTTCAATCTCAAGCAACAACAATTTCGAACAGTTTCAGTTTTTTATTTTCACTTTTATATGATTTTAAAATGTTGGCAAACTTCAAAAAAAAATCATGGCCGACAAATTGAGAGAACGGTTCTACCTTGCTATGTTTTTATCATGCTAGGGATGTTGCGAATGTGGAATTATAGACATCCGCGGATGCTGATTTAAGTATCTATTTGAATTTAAAAATTGGAACATTGTATTTAAAAAAAAGTTATGTTGCTGCCCGTTGGGTCGCAAATCAAACCTCCGCCACTAAATAACTACTCGCTCGAGGCGACAAACTTGAAGAACGAAACTTGTCAAAATTGTAAATTATTTTCGATTGACGCTGCACCAGTTGAGAAGACTTTCAGTTATTTTACTTTGCATTGGGCTGCAAATGTCTAATATTTTCTTCTGACTTTCATCTTCACAATCTAGCATCATGGCAAGATCGCTGTTTAAACACGGTTGTTTTCCAAAGAATTCCTCATTCTCATTCCCTTGGTTGTTTCAGAATTTGGAGAACCTGTAACGTTATCAGCGTTTTTCGATTTTAGTTTTTTATTGCATTTCTAATCCTTTCCTCTTTGATTGGTTTGAAAAATGTGTGCTTAAAGCGAGGTTCTAAATAGGTTGATATGGCAAATACATAAATTGTTACTGCCTAGGAATGAAAATTTCGAAGAAAACTCTGTTTTGAAAGTCGTGACTGGCAGCCGAATTAGATTAAAATCTTGTTATTTTGGTAAAAAGGCTTAATTCCCGTGTGACTTCTCGAAAAGGTCCACCTGTAATGAATAATAGCGTGTAATTTTTTTTTCAGCTGACCTCAACTTTTCCTAGTTTCAGGCACAATTAATTAATCACCGCTGTCGGTACCATAAGGCATCAAATGTGCTTTGAGGCAAATGAACGCA